ACAATCGACACTCTTAACATCACCAGTCAGGAAATCAAAAGACAAATTGCACTGGGAAAATCTGCTGTCAGAGACCTCTCCAGAATGTTGAAAAGCAATGATATAAATCTAGAGACTAAGGTGTGCCTAATCCAGGCCATGGTCTTCTCAATTACTTGTTTTACTTCAGAAAATTGAACAATGACAAGGATGACAGAAGGATCGATGCCTTCAAGTTGTGGTGCTGGAGAAGAGTCTTGAAAATACCATGGACTGCCAAGAGAACAAATAGGCCCGTCTGTCTTTGAGAGGGTAAAAACAAGTTTCTCCTTGGAGGCTAAGATTTTGAAGCTCTGCCTCACATACTATATAAGGCATGTGGCCAGGAGAGACCAGTCCTTCGAGAAGAATGTTATCCTCACCATGGTGGAGGGACGGTGCAGCAGAGGAAGGTCCCAGATGAGATGAACTGATATAGTAACTGGGGCAATGGGGATTGGTGTGTCAGATTTTGTGAGACTGGCTCAGGACAGGGCAGGGTCAGAGCTGCTGTACAGAGGGTTGGTATGGGTTGCAGGCAACTCGATGGTACATGACAAGTAGAACTATAATCTTAGGACTTATACATTCCATGTTACACTGTTTCAATTTTTGTGTTAAATTGTAATTATACACTGCAATTCTTTTGTTTTTACTTGTCAACATGTCTATCTCTAATTCTTGTCCATAAGCACTTTGAAAGGAGTAACTTAGATGTTTTTAATTTTTTGCTCCCAGCAGGGCATGATTGCCTTGTTCAGCATTCATAGAGATTCTAAGTATAAGGAGTACCAACCAAAAGCAAATGTGTAAATCTTGTGGTGGGGGCCAAAATGACTAGTCAAGCTGACTATCTTATGTATCTGGACTGTTTTCTGTGAATTATTTGTCTCATCTTTTGCATATTTTTTGATTGGGCTGTTTCTCTCTTTTCCTTACTAATTTGTAAGAAATAGGTTTTGGGTATGTATTCTCCAATGTGTTGAATCTATTTTTCTCCTAATCTATGAACAATCATTTCAATTCTGCTAATATCATGGATTATGTTATCCGACACTCCTGAAAAAAAAGAGAGGAAAAAAAACCAACCACCACCAACAAAACCAAAACTGTGTATGTAATGAAATAATGTGAAAGTTTTGTAATTAGCCCCCACGACCTGATAAAGCAAGTAATTACAAGAGGATTAAGGTTAGAATCTAATGCTCCTAGGGAGCTCTGGTGGCCTAGCCCATCAGGAATTATTCTGATACCTGACACCTCTCTGGCAATCCAAATTCACCAACTTTTTCCATGCAATTTACAGCTTCAGAAACTCAATGGAGAAATAGCTATGAGTTTGTTCTAACTCAATGGCAATGAGTATTTTAGTTTGGGAGTGTTGTTGTTGTTGTTATGTGCCATCAAGTCGCTTGCGACTCATAGAGACCCTATGTACAACAGCCCTAAACTCTGCTCTGTCCTGTGCCAATCGCACTGTCTCTGACACTCCCATCCCAATTATCCCAGTCACTGAATCAATCCATCTCATAGAGGGCCTTCCCCTCCTGCACCGTCCCTCCACCCTCCCAAGCATGATGTCCTTCTCCAAGGACCGGTCTCTCCTCACAACACGTCCAAAGTATGTTAGACGGAGCCTCAGAATCCTTGCCTCCAAGGAGCAGCCCGGTTTAACCCTTTCCAGCATGAATCTGTTTATTTTCCTAGCAGTCCATGGTACTCTCAATACTCTTCTCCAGCACCACAGCTCAAAGGCATCAATTCTCCTTCTATCCTCCTTGGTCATTGTCCAACTCTCTGATGCATAACAAGTGATTGCAAAGACCATGGCCTGTATCAAATGCACCTTAGTATTTCTTAATTTTATCACAGTGTGTGAAGTTTCCCTAGAGTGTAGCCTGTGGCCTTGCTGTTGTTGTGTACCATTGAATCAGAACCAACTCAAAGCTGACACTCCAGCAGGTTTTCAGAGGCAGTTAATCACACGGGAGGAGATTGCCCATCCTTCTCCCCCAGAGGAGCTGGTCGCCTAGCACCATGTGTGTCTGGGATTGCAGTGCAGCTTCTTGTCACTAGGCCACCAGTGCTCCCTGACCATGACCTAGTGGGATAAAATGTACACAAAGTGAGTCAAGATGGGGCTTTGAAGACTTCAGCACCACCAAAAAATAATCACCAGGAGTGAATGTAACTTTTTGGACTTGACTCCCTGCAGTTCTTGAGACTAGGGAAAGCAAGACACATGAAGGTCTCCAAGGAATGGGGTGGGGGGTTGTGGAGGAAGAAGGAGACTCTTCCTCCAGAACCACAGGGATGGGGACACACAAGGCAAGGAAGAAGGGCGAAAGGGAGTGCTTCTAGAGTTGGTACCTTGAATTTGGATTTTTAGCCTCTTAAACAATAAAAAAGTAAATTTCCGTTTGTTTAAGCCGTTCGGAAGTAACTAGGTTATAGTGACACCAGATAACTAAAACAGGTGCCATTGAAGAATATGAGGCTTTGCTCCCTCAATCTTACATTTATATTTTGTCATTTTTGTATTTAAGAATGTTCCATTTCAAAGTCATAAACATATCCTTCTATATTGTGTGCTAAAACTTGGAAGTAGCCCCACTCCAGCTCATTATTGTTTTAATCCACCTCAAGCTGAACTTAGTGTAAGGTGTAAGTAGGAATGAAATTGATCTAGTTTTAAGTAGTGAACATCTAACCTTTATCCATGATCTGTGATGCTAGCTCATACCAATTTTCTATCCATGCAGAAGTCCATAGTCAATATCTCTACTTGGTTCTATTAAGCCCTTTATTTATTTCTTCACAAACACTACCTTTGTTATTTGTTGTTATTATTGATTGCTTTCAAGTAGAGCACAACTCACAGCGGCCCTATGAACAAAAGGCCAGAAGCCTTTCTATAGCTATTGTCATTTATCAAAGTTCATAGAGTTTCCAGAGGGATATTTTTAGAAAGCGGATGCCACTCCTTTAAAAAAAATAGCAAGTTTCATCTGTAGGACAAATCATTCCATCTTACTCACTTTTCCAAGCTCATCTTAACATTTTCTGGATCTTTATTTTCCATATACCTTTTATAACAGCTTGTTAAGTTGTTGTTAGCAGCCTTCTAATTGTGTTCGACTCATGGCAGATCCTCACACAATGGAAAGAGACAAGGACCAGTCCTGAACCATCTCTGTGATGAACTGTGGACCCAGAGTTCTCATTGGCTGATGCTGGGAATAGGTCACTAGACTTTCTCCCTGTCTTGGTCCAGAAGAAGCACATCATAGTAGCTTCCACTCACAGACAGGTAGTGGCAGCTCATGAGGCGTATTTGCTGGGGGATGAACCTGGACTGCCCCGCAGAAGGTGAGCATAACTGCAGTAGGAATGCTCTTGAATGGAATCAGTGCTGTCAGAATTTTGTTTAGAATTCCATTACATTTATCAGTCATTTGGGGAAATATTGGCACCTCCCTATACATGAATATGATGCATTTAATAATGGGTTCTATTTAATCTGTCTTCAAAACAAACCCAGAACCAATACTTCCCACCACCTGCAGCATCACCAGCCTGGTCCAAGGCATCATCCTCCTTCCCTTGGTTACTACAGCACTACTTGCCTCTCCCTGCACCCTCAGCATTTCCTCTACAGTCTGTTCTTCACTCAGCAGCCAGAGTGGCTCTTTTAAAGCAATTTTTCAGAGCAAGGCATGTATCCTCAGGGTAGTGCCGAGTTCCACACTTTGGAAGACACTGGTTTCCATTTTCTGTTGTTTCCAGTCATGAGCGAACAACTTGGCTGAATGAGTGGTGACTGAAAGCAGAAACCAAAACCAAACTCATTTCCATCAAGTTGATTCAGACTCAGGGTGACCCCAAATCAGATTTCCGAGATTGGAAATCTTAACAGGAAGAGATCATCTCATCATTCTCTCATGAAATGTTTGAGTTTGAACCACTGATCTTTCAGTTAGGAGCCCAACACTTACCCACCAGTGTCAGAGTGTCAGCTCCTGACTCTTAAACAAGACACTGAATAAAGAAGTTACTCAGCAGCCCTGGTTGTATTACGGCACATAGTGTGTTGGGCTGCTAGTGGAAAGGTCCTCACTTCCAATCTTCCAGCCTTTCAGCAGAAGAAAGAGAAGCAAGCTCTTTCTTGGCCAAAGGTATTAAGAGTCAGAGGTCACTGCACAGCCGCAGGTTTGGAGTCCATTGTTGTTAGGTGTGCCATCATGTCCCCCACGACTCATGACTCATTGCGGCCCTGTGAACAAATGGCTGGAAACTCTGCCCTGTCTTGAGCCAACCGCACTTCACTGTCTCTGACACACTTGACCCCACTGCCACAGTCACTGTGTCAGTACATCTCATCTGGGGTCTTCCTCTCCTGCGTTGACCCTCCACTAACCAAGCATGATGTGCTTCTCAAAGGACTGGTCTCTCTTTAAAGTCCAGTGTGTGTGTGTGGGGTTGTGTGTGTGTGTGTGTGTGTGTGTTGATTGCCGTCGAGTCAAGCACGACTCATGGCATCCCTATGAACTAAATACCTGAAGACTTTCTAAAACTATTGTCGTTTCTCAAAGCTCACAGTTTCCTGAGGCAGGTTGTTTAGAAAGGAGATGCCACTCCTGCTTCCGTTAGGAGAAACCAAAATGGAAATCGATGGCTTCAGCCTGTTCAGAGGTCCACATGACGGCGAAGATGAACTTAGAGTTAAGGATGCGGATGCAGAATGCAGCGCATGAGCTGTGGGAGGGGATGCGCTCTGAACTGGGAGCTAGACCAGGTGAGGACCTGAAGGGCGGGTCCGGGCTGTTTTGCGCGCGGCCGCAGGCCGGGCCCAGCCAGGCCTCTCTGTTCCCGGCCCTGGGCGCGCGCAGGGGACCCGCGGGGACGCGCTCGGGGCGGAGGCAACGCGAAAGGCCGCCGTGGCGGGAGAAGCGTTTCCGGTGGTGGCGGAGGCGGCGCTGAGTGGGACCTGTGAGCAGCGCGGGCAGCGGCCCAGGGATCCGGTGAGTGGCGGCTGAAGATCCGGCGGGGCCGGATGGGGAGCGCGCGGGAAGTCTCGTGGAGGCGCGGGGTGCTGCGGTGCGGGCGCGAGGCGCGCGCCTGAGGGGCCGGGCGACTCAGAGGCTTGGAGGTCGCAAGCTCGCAAGCTCCCTCGTGGTGATGGGGACGCCTGGACGCCCGAGTCCCTGAACCTTGGTGACCTCTGCCTTCTGGCCCCCTGACAGTTGTCTGCTGCCATCACCTTGAGGACCACGCGCTCACTTCTCCCCAGCCTGGACCTAGTCCATCCCCGAGGAGAGCGGGCTCGAACCATCCACACCCCGCGCGCTCTGCCACGCTGTCCTGTCCCACTTGGCAGCGTGAGCGAGCTGGCTGCGGGGAGGATACCCAAGATGGCTGCCGCGGGAACGGGCCACCGCGCGCACCGCGCCACCGTGCTCAGTGACCAAGTGGCCCCTGACCCCCCGGCGCTTCCTCAATTCCAGTCTGAGGCGGCGCAGGGCTCAGGGACTGAGATGTCCCGGCCGCTCTCCTAGCACTGCCTGGCTAACAGGGAAGACGTAGTCTATGAGGTTAGAGGAACAGTAGTAATCACAGGTCCTTGCATTTGCGTCCTTTCCTCATGCACTTTCTCCAGTGCCTCAGCTTTAATGCATGATAACCACAGTTCCTAGCAAGTGTGGGCCAGGTGATCGAGGTAGATCCCTTTACTTTTTCTCTCTTCGACTCTTCCAACTACTTGATGTTATTCCCATACCGCAGATGAGGAAGCTGAGGGTTAAAGAAGTTGAGGAAGCTGCCCAGGGTTAGCCATGCATAGAGCAAAGCCCTCTGAGTTTCATCTTTAAATGTTACATCCTTAAAGATGCCTTCCCTTGGCTGTGCCATCTAAACTTGTCATGTGTTACGTTAACTAAAATAACGTTGCTGCATTAACTAAAACATTAGTCTTTGTTTCTGTTTCATGCTCATGGTGGCTCCACGCTCGACTAAAACTGTGCCCCACTCAATATTCAATGACTACATCTTCAGACAGACTTTTTATCTGAGATTCCTGTGGCTGCCTTTTGGATTGCAGTGACATGTTTAACTGTTCTATCCAGGGCTCACTCCATGCTTTTCTTTAATAACATTTGTCACCTGGAATTATCTGTATTCTTTTGTTTGTTTGTTTGTTTGTTTTTGCTTATTTTACTCTCTCCATGTGAGCAGGGCCTGCATTTGTCTCATTCACATATCCCCTGCCCCCAATTGCCTATATAGTAGGCCTTCAGTAGCTATTTGCTGACTAACTGAATGAAAAAGCTTAGCTCTGCTGAACTTCAGACCTAATACACTTAGTTGCTTCATGTACAACTTGCCTTCTGAAGCCCATGGAGTTTTTCTCAGTCTTAATCCCCTGCTCTTGCCTTGCATCCTGGGTTTTGCCCTGCATGCCTCTGGATTTCATCTTCCTTTGTCCATTGCCAGTTTTCAGAGTTGTTTTTTTTTTTTTTTCATTAAACTAAACACAACACAACACTAGAGCTCTGGTGCCCTAGTGGCAGGAAGCAGTGCTGCAATTCCAAAGGCAAGTGGTTCGAGGCCACCAGCTTCTCCGCGGGAGAAGGATGGACATTCTCCTCACTTGTTCTGAAAACCTGTTGGAGGGTCAGCTATGGGTCAGTTCCGACTATGGTACTCAATAACAAACTAAATACTAATTGCTGTCAAATCAGAGCAAACTCATAGCTGACACTCCAGTGGGTTTTCAGAGACTGTAAATCATAGTGAAGGACATTGTAGTTGTTGTTATGTGCCATGACTCTATGTACAGCATCTCTGAAGACTGCCCTGTCCTGAGCCAGCCTCACTGATTCCAACACACCTACCCCCATTTCGCCAGTTACTGTATCAATCCATCTCATCCGGGGTTTTCCTTTCCTGTGCTGTTCCTCCTTCTGAGAACATGATGCCCTTCTCCAAGGAATGATCTCTTCTGGCCGTGTGCCCAAAGTATGTGAGTCAGAGCTTCAAAATCCTGGCCTCACCATCTCCAAGACAGAATTATTTGTTTTCTTGGCAGTCCATGGTATGCTCAAGACTTTTCTCCAGCACCACAACTCAAAGGCAATTAATTCTTCTATCATCTCTAGTCATTGTCCAGCTCTCTGATGCATAGCAAGTCATTGCAAAGTCCGTGACCTGGAGCAAGTACGTCTTAGTCTCTAAACTGATGTTGCTGCTTTTTTGTTTTCTGGAGAGGTCCCTGACAGAAGATTTTCCCCAGTCCAATTCGTCATTTGATTTCTTGACTGCTGGTGTCAAGAGTGTTGATTATGGAGCCAAACAAGCTGAAATTGTTAACAATCTCAATCTCATCTCCATCCATCATGGTGCTGTCAATTGGCCCAGTGGGGAGAATCTTTGTCGTCTTGATGTTGAGCTTCAATCCATATTGAGGACTCCGGTCATTGACCTTCTGCAGCAAGCACTTCAGGGCCTCCTCAGTTTCAGCAAGCAAGGTTGTGTCATCTGCATAACATAGGTTGTTGACAAGTCTTCTCCAATCCTGATGCCACAATCCTCCTCACAAAACCCAGTCTTCTGAATGATCTGTTCTGCATATTGCTCATCTTTATCTGAAAGAGCATGTGGTAGATTAGAACCTCCTGCCTTTGGATTGATAATGCAGCTCCTTACCCACTAGGCCACCAGACCATCTTACTACCTAGGTATTAGAACAGATGCAGGGAGCCATAAAGGTAAAAACCCATGCAGCTTTTATGTTGCTGGGTGTAGACTTGATATATTAGATATATAAGATGAGAGAGAATTATTTAAGAAATTAAGTGGAGACTTTATCAAGTTCTGTGAACTTTTCTCTAGTAGTTTTCCCACTCAAGTGACTCTTCCTTTACAGAGATGATAATGTCTGGACTGAAGAACTACACCCCATGACATCAAGTTAATTCTGACTCATTGTGACCCTCCATTGGGTTTCTGAGGCTAGTAATCTTTACAGGAGGAAATGGTATCTTTCTTCAGAGGAGTGTTGTTGTTATGTGTCGTCAAGTCGTTTGCAACTCATAGCGACCCTGTGTACAACAGCCCTAAACCCTGCTTTATCCTGTGCCAGTTGCACTGCCTCTGACACACAAATCCCGATTACCCCAGTCACTGAATCAATCCATCTTATAGAGGATCTTCCCCTCCTGCGCCGTCCCTCCATACTCCCAAGCATGATGTCCCTCTCCAAGGACCTGTCCCTCTTTGCAACATGCCCAAAGTATGTCAGACGAAGCACCAGAATCCTTGCCTCCAAGGAGTTGCTTGGTTTAATCCTCTCCAGGATGAATCTGTTTGTTTTCTTGGCAGTCCATGGTACATTCAATACTCTTTTCCAGCACCAGAGCTCAAAGGCATCAATTCTCCTTCTGTCCTCCATAGTCATTGTCCAACTCTCTGATGCATAACAAGTGATTGAAAAGACTATGGCCTGTATCAGGTGCACCTTAGTCTCCAGAGAGACACTGTTGCTCTTGAGTACTTTAGAGAGGTCCCTAACAGCAGACTTTCCCATCAAAATACGTTTTTTTAATTTCCTGGCTGCTGGTGCCAAGAGTGTTGACCGTGGAGCCGAGCAAACTGAAGCTGTGAACAATCTCAATCTCTTCCCCCTCCATCCTGATGCTACCGATTGGTCCAGTGGTGAGAATCTTTGTTTTCTTGACACTGAGCCTCAGTCCATACTAAAGGCTGCAGTTCTTGACCCTCCGCAGCAAGTGCATGAGGTCCTCCTCAGTTTCAGCAAGCAGGGTTGTGTCATCTGCATACTGCAGATTGTTAGTAGTTCTTCCACCAATCCTGATGCCACAATTCTCATAGAGCCCAGCCTCCCGGATTTGAAACACTGACATAAGAAGCCTAATGTGTTACATACTATGCCACCAGGGCATAGTATGGTATTTGAAGAAAATAATTTATGAATTCTCACTCAGCTTTAATATAAAATGACTGTAAACATGTATTTAAATAGAGTGCACATGGTTTTTGGTGAATGGAAACATATACCTGATTCTAGTTATGTAGTCAGATAGTTATGATTACCTGTCAACTTGGCCAGCCACAGTTCTCTGCTATGAGTAGAAATAAACTCAGCAGCACCTAACAGCAACATTTTTAGAATACTCTGAATATTCGGTGGATGTTTTATAAAATTGGAGATGTATATAAAGATGGATTTTATAAATTGGAGATAGGTATAGAAAAGTACAAATTTGATTCTTGCAAAGAAAGCGGAAGGGGCAACCAGGGCAGAAAGAATGGAAAGGCAGCAAAGACCATTAAAACAGACCCACCGTTCCACCTCTTTGCTCTCTGATGGCTCCTTGTTGTTGTTGATTGTCCTTGAGTCGAGCACTACTCATAGCGACCCTATGAACAAAAGGCCTGAAGTCTTTCTGTATCATTATTTCTCCAAGTTCATAGAGTTTCCAGAGGCGTGTGGTTTAGGAAATAGATGTGCCACTCCTGCTTCCAAACCTGCCTTAAAACCAGGAGCTCCACCAAACACCATCCACCAGGGGATCAGTTATGGCATATGGCACCCCAGTGGCACAAGGTTCATCATCACAGCAAACCCAGATTACCTCAGTACAGCAAATTGAGAGAAGAGTGCTTTACAGCTTTGAAGACTGTCCCTCCAAAGCAGGTCTTCTTGACATAAGTCGAGAAAACAACCCAACATTCCACATGACCAGCAACCCAGAACAAGAGTGCCCACCCAGTTCTCAAATGGAGACGAGAGACTCAGCTTAGATATGAGGACTCCCCCGTCCGTTGGCTTAAGATAAATTATATCCTATTGTGGAAGACCTTCAATAAGATGAGTTGACTCTGAGACTGTCACAACGGGCTGGTGAGGATGGTGAAGGGTAGGGCAAGATTCAGTTCTGTTGTTCATAGGTTCACTGTGAGTCAGAATCGACTTGATGGCCCCTACAAACGACATTATATATGC